GCAACGTTATACACAGTGATGGATAATTCCATCTATATCTAATTATCTTTTTTGATTCATTATTGCAATGTAAAATCTTGATTTTCAAAGTTACTGCAGCCGTTGTATTTATTTTTAAACTCAATAATCGAGTTGTTTTCCTCAGCAGTCACATAATTCTTCACCTGCGTAAATGTTTAAACACCCTGATGTAGAGGTTCTGTATTAGCTTTGCTTGTGTTATTTCTGAGTGCATGAAAAATATGTACTTCAAATAAAAGTGCTATGTTATTACACTTTGAAAATGTAATGATTGATTCATCTAAATGCAGAGAGTTGAATTTGCACACGGTTTGATCATTGATTTGTCATGATGTGTCATACTTTGTTAGATTATCACATATTTTTCATTGTAAAATCTTAATCTGCAGATTAATACAGTATGAAAATCCTCCTCTAAGATTTAGAGGAATAAACACATTATACTTGAGTAAAAAATACAAATAAAAAGTTATGACCTACTTATGTATACCACAGTGTGTGTGTTTCTCTTTGTGGCCACTAGAGGGCAGTCTGGTTTCTTTTCTCACAAATATCAGCCCATCTAAAGTGGAAGAAAAACCACAGAGTCAAGACCACGTTAGAAATTCGACTTCCTTTTTCTTTATTTCCTCATCGCTCCTCATTAATCCTTCTCCTCCTCCTCCTCCTTCACCCTGGATCTGTCAGGTACCAGAAACCCTCTGTACATGAACGAACTGAAATCTTTTAGTCAAATGCTGCCATCAGACTTCAATTGATATTGTGAAACGGTGTGTTTTTGCAGGATTGTATTGCAATGCCCTTTTCACTTCTTACACTAATTTATTCTCATAACTAACTAAGAACTAATTCATTAAATCTTTTAATTTCTTTGCATGTCCATTTAGATGTTCCTTATTCATTTTTTCTGCCAGTTACATTAGTGTGTGTGTGTGTGTGTGTGCTTGCAGGTAGCTTGAGGACAGCATATCAGACCCGTGTGGATTTTTCTTCCCTCCTGCCTCGGCTGCTGGATCTCACTCCCCTGCCCCAGATGCCAACTCAAGAGTAAATTATTGCTGTGAGTGTGTAAGGAAGGGATAGAAATAGATGGAGATTGAGAGAGAGATGAGGGGGATGCTATGAGAGAAGTAGAAAGTGTTGAAGAGTGGGTGTCTTTTGTATTGATTAGCGTTGTTTTGACAACTGACAGAAATCAAATTGACTTCTCTGTCTTTGTTTCCCCTCCGTCTCCCTGCGTCGCTCTTTTGCTCTCGTTGACCTCTTTCCCACTCCGTCTCTCCGAGCTCAACCTCTGTAGGCAATTCCCTCTGTTGGCTGCGAGACTGATTGCATTACACTGTCTTTAAGCAAGCAATTACTTTTCTCAAAGAGTCACAGGTCATTCTTTCTTTCCTTCTCTTCTGGTGTGTTGCGAGTCAAACCCCTGAGCCTCTGCACAACTTTTTCTCCATCTGAAAACTATTGATTTTCCCTGTCAGTGTGTCATTTGTGCTCCTCAAACACTTGCAAGCATTCTGCTACAATAATGAGAACCCAAGCTGAGACGCCTCAGACAAACACACACACACCTCCTCAAAAGTCCTGCGATTTTGGTGATAAGTATTGGAAATGAAACCACTTGACCTCGAAATGTGATCGTTCTTTTTCAGGGATCAGGGTCTCTCTGAACGCGTCTGGTGGTATCAATGAAGCCCACACGCATACACCACAAGTAGCCTGCTACGCCTTTAAAAACATATTGATTTTTCTCTTTCGCAGGGAGCTTAATGTGATCGATCGGCCAGGCCCTTTCAAGATCAGCGCCAGTATAAGCATCCCTTCCCCTAACACACATGCTGCCTCTTTCCCCTCAGGTAATGATTGTCCTTGGGCTGGGGGAATAGTTTGTCTGCATTAAGAGAGAGAACTGTTTCTCATGGTATCCACTCCCTCGCCCTCCGTGCTGGTTCCTAGTAATGGAACATATTTTAACAAAAAGGTGCGAGCAAATGCAGCGCACACCTCCATTGACCTTTATCATCCAACCACCGCCTCCCTCCCCTCCTCTTCCCCTCCACCTCTCAGTGGGTCGATACCTATTTGTATTTGCAATGCATTAGGCTGGTGCCCTCTTTTTAGATTGAAAATGTAGCTTTTGTCAGCGCGGTGCCTCTTTTTATGAATGTTTCAAACTTGTTTCTGTTTCGTTTTAAGGCGGCGTATTAAGATCAGTCCGTTATCACGTTCACCTGTTTTGTTAGCTCTTTAAAAATAAGAAGATGAGACCTGCTCCATTGCTGCATTAAAGATGATGGATCACCCGTCACCTGCAGCAGGAGCTACAGTGGGGGTCCAAACCCCCAAAGTTATCACAGGAAAAATCTGAAGGCTCACAAGAAAGGAAATAAGGGGGGGGGGGACAATTTGGACAAACCTTAAACCTGCCTTAACTTTTTGGCCTCTTGGGGGCGTTTTCAGCTCTATTTTTGGTCTCCACCACCTTTTGAGTGAAATGCTCCATTATATTCTCCAGCTAGTTATGGTCATTGTAAAAGCTTCCTACAACACACCGTTGTTTCAAGTTTCTCTATCACACCTTTCACTTACAAGTCATCACTTGATCCAGTCATAATATCTAGATATAGATGATAGCTGCTCAAATAAAAAACACTGACAATAGACCTTCCACACAGCTGCTATTTTTACATGAAGTAACAGGTAAATGCACATATTACTAATCACATGAATCAGGCTCTGTACCCTTCATGTCTTTACCTTCTATTCTGAGTCAATAGGGCTGCTGTCTAAATGTTCTACTGGGAACACACTGGGAGTTTTTACATTTTCAGCACCTTAACTTACTAAAAATCTGAGAAGTGTCCTGAGAAAACACCTTTTTGGCAGCAAAGGGTCACAAACTGTGAAGGTTCCTGTGTGAGGGACAAATTCTCAAATAATACTTACAATATTTTAAGTGTCTCAGCCTTGGTTCAGACAGCCCCTAACTGTTATGGTTCAAGAGCTGTGCATGCATGTGATGTTGACATATCCCTCCTCTCATATTTTCTCAGCAGATAAGACAGCCTTACATCCACCCTTATATCTTGTTGATCTAAGCCAGATAAATCAGCAACAAAGACATTTCTCTCCAGATTTCATTTGGTGGCTGACTTTTTAATTGCCTGTATTTCAGCCCCTCTCCTTGGTTCACATGATCACAGTCTAAACATGGAATACATTACGGCGCTAACCATCTTCTAAGTGCATTACGAATAAACAGTACAACAAAGAAAGGAATAACGCTAAGTAAACGTCATAAATAACTCATCAATTGTAGAGTAAATTATTTTTAAACAAACTTTGAGTGTGTGACCTTTCGAAAGATTTCCTGCCTTTATCAAACTTTTGAAAGAAAACATTTAACTTGCATTTCCTATTGTTTAAAAGTCATTTCAAAGATTCACTTCATTCAGGCCTCTAAATTTCCCCCCAGCTCATTTCTGGTGTCATGAAACTTAAACGTGAATGTGAAACTTCCAGCCCACTCAGTCAGGAACAGGATAGAGAACCCCAAGGTTTAATGGGACTGGTTTGTTTTCTCTTTCTGTGTCGGGTAACTTGTCAACACATCATGTTTTCAGTTCTGCAATATAACAATTATTTCCCAAAGGGAGTTTCCTAGAAATAAGGATGTAATGGCTCAACTTTTAGGGGAAAATAGGAATTTACTTTATAGAAAACTTAATATAAACCTAATTGAATAATTCACTGCTCATTTATAATCTGAAACTTTATCATCCATATTTGTTGAAATACATATTTGTCTGTAGACCAGTGGTGCAGGAAGAGCTCAAATATTTTACTTAAGTAAGTGTACAAATAAACAGACAAAAATGCACTCTAGTAAAAGTACTACATGAACTTTTCTACTTGAGTAGAAGTAAGTACTTGCTTTGCTCTCACTGAAGGATGTGGAGTCTAATGTTACCCGCCTGCTTTGATTGGATCAGTGGAGCACAATTCCCTTCTCGTTATTGTTTAATTAAAAAGTATTTAAGAAACTAGGTGGAAATATAAAAGGTAATGCTTTGAGTATGAAATTGAGTGAAGTAGAAAATACAGACATTTTCTGGTACATGTAGGGTAGTAAAAGTGTAAAGTATCTGGAAGTAGATCTCCCTAAATAAATGACAGATACTTAAATATTTAAGTAAATATTCTTTGTTACATCACACTGCTGCTATAGAGAGTTTTCACATTGTGTTATGCTCTTAACTCTGTTTCTATCTCCTCTGTGATTAGAACCAAATCATTCTTATAATTCTAAAATGATGGATCAATTTCCTGTGATACCTACTATAAAACCCTATGAATTAACAGCTGTGAATGCTTACATTTATATCCTCCGCTATATTCCATTATTCCATTATTATTTAATTTAAACTTTTCGTATATGTTGTGAAACTTTCTGCGATCACACGAGATTCAGATTTTGAAAGTTCGTCTCGAGATGTTTCGGAGAACTTTAGAGTCGACTGTGTAAACTCTGGCCCCCGTCTAAATGCTTAGGGACTAACGCTGGAGAATTTAACATGCGCAGGTCTGTGCTGTGAGAGGCGTCGAGTGGTTCAGTTTACCGCACGCCCCCGCTGGCCTGTGATCGAATCCTGCCAGAGCTCCTGACTCCCCTCTGTCTCCCCCTCTGCTGTCTCAACAATTAAATCAGTCAAGGTGAGTGCACTGCCCACTCTCTTTCTTTCTTCTTTCTTTCTTTTTTCGTTTCTGGAAAATAATGATGAATAGATAAAAGTATGAGCCGGTAGAATAGTCCATTTATGACCAACAACATAATGAGTTGTCTTATTATGAAACATTTCACCTGTATGTCAGTTGCCATGGAGATTTTGTGCAGATATGTGAGGCTCTGTTTAATGGTCCGACCTTAGCCTTGCACTTTCACAATTGTGCGCTTTCATGATGTTACAAACATGCGGGCACATATTACAAAGTGCATGCCCATATTAGTGGGCATATTTCTACAGCAGTGTGTTCTCTTCGCCCTTTCCTCACTTGCAGAAAGCATTCCTTTAATATTGATTCAGCAGAAGAAACCTTGTGTTCTGACTAATTTATCATTTTCAACTTAACACAGTGCACATCTTATATGTTTCTTGAACTCATTTCCAGGTCCTCCATAGCCACCATTTACAAACCCGTCCCCTCCCCCATCTGCATTTCTCTATCTGCCCCTTTTTGCCCCTCTGTCCTTCTCTCTCTCTCTCTCTCTCTCTCTCTCTCTCTCTCTTTCTCTCTCTCTCTCTCCCTCTCTCTCTCTCTCTCTCTCTCTCTCTCTCTCTCTCTCTCTCCTGCAAGCTGTGTCTCTTTCCTGTGTGCTGGGGGGCCAACGGAGGGGAAGTACACTGAGAAAGAAATGCACTCTCTCAGTTCAAGTGCATGGGCTTAAAGACACAGCTGGCTCCGACAAAGGGGAATGTGACAATAGTCGTGGAAAGGTAGAATAATGACCCAATGACAAGGCAGTTGAGTGTGCGGAGACAGTATGGGGATCATTTCACACAGAAAAAGGGGGGAAATTTAAAAGAAATTGTTAACAGGAAAATGGAGAAAAAATGTCTCCTCCCCTCTCCCTCTCTCCATGTACTGCTCCTAGTCCCTCCCACCTTTCTTTCAATCTCTGTCCCTCCCTCTCTCCTTTCCTTCATTCCTACCCTGCATGCACACTCACATGCACACACACACACACAGATATACACATGATGACTGATGCCGTCTCCCTCCTCTTGCATTCTCCGTTTTCTGCACCACTGAGACTTTTGTGTCCTCTCGGTACAAGCGTACAGTGAAACCGGTTCTATGCAGCTCCAGTAATGCTATTCCAGCCACAAACTGAGCAGCAGCAGCAGCAGCAGCTCCTCCTGCCTCTCACTGTACTGCTTGTGACTTTGTCCGCTCGCCTTTGCCACCGGTACTTTCCTCACTCCGTTGATTTCCTTTGTCTACAAGGCACGTTTCCCCTTCAAAGTCCCGAGCGTGGAGGAGTGAGGAAAGAAGAGAAATCGCTGTGTGACGAAGGGGGAGATGAGGCAACACCGAGGCTGGAGTGAAATAGAGATGCAAGGCTGCAAGTCGATAGGGAAGGCACTTACTCAAGAGTGGGGAAGAGGGAGCGGAAAGAAGGAATCAAGTTGGAATCGGGAAAAGAAACGCGGGAAAAGGTAAGAAAAAAAGAAGCAACAAATGCTGGAATTCTCTTCTGTTCTTTATTTCCCTCTTGAGCTATTATTTCATAAGAAAAGTAATCATGTAGATGTATCATTTCTTTCTATTATTGTGTTTGCTGCCTATTTCGGATTTCTGTTTTTAGCTCCAGCCTGGTTTCTGCTAGTTTGTGTACCTAAAGTCATTTTCCTTCCTCCCACTCCCCCTGGAACATTTCTCCCTCCGTCTCCACTCTTCTCCTGTAATCCAGCCGTGCCTTTGCTTGACAGAATGTGCGGTTTTGCTGAAAGAGCTCTAGCCTGAAATCAAGCTCAGCGTTGGTCAAAAGGCTCTGGCTGATTTTTGGGCCCAGTTGTGAGGACGAGGGGGAAGGAAGGACTGGGTTGGGGCACTCACTCCTGTTCCATTATTATGTGTCAATCACTGTCTTCGTAAATCTTTTCAGGCATGGTATGAAGAGAATATGCGTTAACCAAATGAACATTGTTGGTCTGGTTTTGGTTCTTAGTTTCAAGTAAATGTGAAACTGTTAGAACCATGACAAAGTATTTCATTATTTGGCCGTCACCCGCTCTGCTCTGGAACTGACATGTCCCACCCTCGACTTCCCCTCACTGTTTGTTTGAGGTCTCAGTATGTGTCCCCGTTAACGCTGCACATGACCAAACCTCATATGTCTCTCATTGTCCAATACAACCTAACCTCCTTCACCAAATACTTGTAATGCTTTTTGTCTATACCGCCCTCCATTGTTTTAATATCGACAAGTTAGTGTCGTCCCAGCGTGTGTACGCACGAGGAGCTCGATATATCCTGGTTCTGTCCGTGCGTTTAACCCGCCCGTCCATCTCCATGAAGCTCCCGGCCCCTGCACCCCTGTCTGCAGGCGAGCAAACTCGAAAATGCCCCAGTTGTTTCCATGCCAGGGTGTGCCATCCGAGATGAGATTTTCCTTATCAGTGGATCGTAGGGGGGCTGTTAGGATGATGGTGGAAACAGTCTGGATTCGAGCTCCATTCAAGACTTAGTGCTAGAACGTAACGCCCAGATAGCCGACCTTGATGATTGGTGGCTGGTTTGTGCCCATAGAATGCATGGCCGAGGTAAAATCACAGGTAAACACAGGCATTTTTTTAAAGTTTAAAATGAGTAGTGGTTCATTTTTATTCAGAGCATGCTCAAATGGTCACTTCACTTTATTCACTTGCACATATTTGATATTAACAGAAGTATGCAGTTGGGCAATGACGTCTCATTGACTTCAAGTTAAAATTGAGTTAACACCATTAACTCCATTTGGTTGTTTTTTGCTATTAACACCTCTGCATTTTCAATGGGGATCTACAGAAGATATGTGAAGAAATGCTCTAAAAAATGAAGTAGAATACCATGATATATACCAATATACCATGAACAGGCCTTGGTCAGTGGTTTAGGAAAAGTTTAAAAGCTTTTTTACTGAACAGTCATCACATGGTCTGGACCGAAACACATCCTCCTTTTACAATCCTTTCCATCACCTGTGGGAAGTTCTATTTATATAATGACAGATAAAGAACACGTCAGTTATTTAAAGTGCAAAATATTATATTATTATATGCAAAAGAAATTACCATTTCTTTTTTTTTTGCCATTTATTCACGTGATGAATCAAAATATTATGTCAAAATACAAAGGAAACTTCCATGATCACACATTTTTCAAAGACAAAGCAGATGACTTAAAATAACTTTTTTTGTTCAACCAAATACTCAAAACCCTTGGACAATAAATCAAACAATTACATGGTTGCCAATTACTTTCCTGTTGATAAACTATTGAAGCTAATCTGATTGTTTGAAATCGCCTCGACTGATATAATCAATCACTGTAATAATTTGGATAACTGCATATCACACTGACCTTGATGTGTGTTTGATGTTCCTCAGCACTGGGAGCTCGATGTGGGGGTTCTTCCTGCACAGCGCTCACCACACTCATCCAATACAGCTACATGAGAGCTGTCTGTCTGTCTGTATTCTTTGGAGCAGTAAAGACTGTTGCCTGGAATTAAATATCAAAGAACCTGTGTTTTACTTCCATAACTGCATTTATGAGATTAATCCAATGGTAAAATCCTTCTGCTTCCTCACACTCTAGTTGTTTTATTCTGGCTTCTTTTACTTGGTTATTCAGACATTTGCTTTAAGTTTTAGATCGAATGTCAGTTCAGCACAAATACAGTGGCTGTGGTTGTGGTACATTTAGTGAATCAAATGTTTCAATTCACTTTTCCAAACAAAATGAAAACAGAGATTAAGAGCTCTAGTGAAAAAACACTTAAATCATATGAGCATCTGAGGCATTCAGCACGTCTCCACAGCGCTGCGTCTGTGTAATAATAGTGAATACTTCGGCAGAAATAATGGATTACCCCAGCTTATTGTTCTGACAATGAATGTATCAGTTATTTAAAACCTCTTCAACTTGAGGCCACCACTTACTGATCCCAGCATATCTAAACTTTAGAGTGCAGAGGAAGCCGTTAATGTATTGCACTTTATAAAGCATAACTCAGCCTTCACTATCAATTATGTAGTTCTGGTGTGAAAGAGACGGAAATAGGGCCACATACACACACACACACACACACACACACACGCACACACACGCACACACACTCAAACACACAAAAGAAGCAACGGGGTCCGGCATGGAGAGAAAGCACTGCAGCATGTGACCGCTGTGGATGTACTAACGCTCTCTCACGGTCGGAGTGAGAGCTATTCCCCCCGGACTCAGTGTTCCAGTTGCATCCGCGTTTGTCTGCCTTCTCGAGGACATGGGGCTGAAACGGGGCAGAGAGAGCTCCATCTGGATACCCATAGGGCTTTCCCTACTTTATTAGCGCAGCACTGAGAAACATTCTCAGTGCTGCGCGGTGAACAAAGTTTGAACCGTTCTAATGCCTCGCTGACATGAAGTTCTTGTGTTTTGTCCGAGTTGCAGGACATGCAGGTTTTGATGTAATTGTCAGTTGCTGAGCGATGTTGTTGATATAGTGTGAGGTAATTCATTATGTGGCAGAGGCTTTTGTCTCTGTTTAATATTCAAATTTGTACTTTTTTACTCCACCGCATTTATCTGACAGCCGTGGTTACTAATACTACAAGATGATGATATGAATATGATGCTTTGCCATAGTTTAAAATACCAAGTGGTACTTTAAATACTTTACTTTATAATTAGCACAACCTCAGACAACTACATTACTACATTATTTACATGTTTATGTGTAAATTGTAATATTAATAATGCAATATTACTAAATACATAATATGATAACATATACTACATACTATAAAAGTGTACTATTCAACTGTTATATCATTGTGTCAATCGGCACAGTTCATATATTCAGAATGAGAAGTTTAGTGTTTGTGTAGAAGATGACTATCACAAGATATTTTGTTATCAGATGTTTTACATTTACAAAGTGGCCCAGGTTGTTAAGAAACATTCCGTGTAAACTGCGATGTCCAGTTTTCAAATCATGACAAAAATCGTACTCTCTCTGTTCTTATATTAACTGTGACTAAATTAGATTAATTAAAGATACTAAATAGTATACTCAATTAATTTAATAAAAAGTTATCATTTAAAAAAACACTCTTGAACAATAAGTAAAAAAATATTTTACCAAACTTTGAATGGATATTAAAATTAATATTGAACAACATTTTACACTCAAGCTGCGACCCTCAGATTCTCACTATTTGCCATAAAAAAATCGTATCTACGTGGACATGCTTTTCTCTCCACATTAGTTACCAAGTAGATCTCAACCATTTCGTCTGAACAGCAAACTATCGAGCACTGTATTCATAGAAAGCTGCAGTCTCTTTGATATTTTTTTCCATTCTTTATTCTCATAAGCATAAAGAAATCATATATTGTCTGCTTTGTCGTGAGTGTGTTGCTAAAGTTTCACATCATGTTACATGTTTTCTGATCACTGGAAAACTACCACTTGCTGTTTTTTTGGTTATTGCACTATGCTGAGTTTTTTGGAGTTTTTCCTGTCTCTGGTTACAGTTTTAGAATCTCTTCCGCTAACCAGTTTGATAAATGAATGGTTTCCTCGTGCAGGGGCCAGGTGGCTGCCTCGTGCATTCAGATGGAGGCAGAGGTGGTGAGGTGGGGGTTAATATTTGTAGGCTGTAGGAATGTGTTTGCAGTCAGCAGTGAGAATTCCTCAGTTCTGCATTAGTAGGTCACAGCGTTGCCTCTTACCTCGCCGAACTATCTCAATCCCCTCCTCCCCCTCTTCCCCCACGTCTGTCTCTTCCCTCTCCCTCCACCACTCCATCTCGCGTTTGATCTCCGTCTTTATCGCCGCGTTCCTACGCCTGTCTCATTCTCGATGCGTGTCTTTTTCTCCTATGTTCTGTCTCAAGTTTTGATCCTCTCCTCTCGGGCTCTTTAGATGTTTCACAGACATCTTAAGAGCCGCAGGAGCTGGTGGAGGGGGCAGCTGGGTAAAAAGTGAGCGATAAGGAAAATGCATGCGAGTGTGATAATTCTAGTACACCGCTGTGTGCTGCTGCCCTCGTGTCCTCTTCAGTCCGTCAGTCATGTATGATTTATGGAACAGGCTCCAGAGGAATAGGCTTTGTAGATGTCATGAGGCAACGTCTACTCGTACCTTCTCGTGAGATAGTTCAACTGTGGACCAGGAAATAATCACCACCTGCCTCCACCATCACTTCCTTCAGGATCATATCACATATTGGGATGGTCACTTAAAGGTACAGTGTGTAGAATTCTGTGATATCTAGTGTTGAAGTTACATGTTGCAGCTGAACACCCCTCACCTCACCCTCTCCTTCCAAACATGAAAGAAAACCTCTGGTAACCTTCAGTTGTCATAAAAACTCAAAATGTGTTTAGTTTGTCCATTTGGACTCATGGAAAAAACATTAGAACAAGCATTTAAATATATAGG